TATCACAGCCATGATTTAGCCATTTATTTTTTATTGAACCGTATTGAATCGTTTTGAAATATATCGTATCGAGATATGTATCGTATCGTGGCCAATGTATCGAGGTATGTGTCGTATCGTGGCCTATGTATCGAGGTATGTATCGTATCGTGGCCTATGTATCGAGATATGTATCGTATCCTGGTCTATGTATCAAGGTATGTATCGTATCGTGGCCTATGTATTGAGGTATGTATCGTATCGTGGTCAATGTATCGAGGTATGTATCATATCGTGGCCTATGTATCGAGGTATGTATCGTATCGACAACTTCTTCATGATACCCAGCCCTATTCCACTGTATAAATTAAACCCATCTATCACAAGGGAGACAAGCAGATTACAAGACTACGCTACGTCAGATCTGTGGAGACTCGCCCCTATTCATAAAAAGAATGATTGTATTTTTGAGCAATAAAAATACCCGTAATGAGTAAATGTTAAATGGATATGTTTGAAGTCATACCAAAACCAAAGAACATTCCATGCAAACCAACATCTCCTTGGAAGCAAGTTGGCGCCAGATCCTCCACTAGAAAACTTGTACAGTGCGCCTTTAAGTGCTAGACACATGAGCATTTAAAGGTGCAGTACGTAACTTTTTGTGGAGGGTCCGCCACCTGCTTGTTTTGATGGAGATGTTACTGCTTGGTTTGAGATCTTGTACAATATGGTATAAAAGGACCCATGATACGCTATTTTCTGATCTACAGGGTTCCTCAGGGTTTTTCGCTGACAAAATTTCTAAACTTTTCCATAACTTTTTCATGACCTAATGTGAATTTTCCATGACTTTACAGCACCTACATGTGTAGAATTGATCAGACTTTTAGGGCTAAATCTGAAATGTTAACTCTTTCCACTCACCTTATGGTTTGGGATTATAGTTTTTTAACATTCAAAATCCTGTCAGTGCATTTATTGTCGTCTCTTTTAAACAAAAGGAGCAGACGTTCAGAAATAATCATAACAGCCTCATGACAACTTAATAGAACGCTGTAGTTGCATGAAAGAGATACTAAAATTCCATGACTTTTCCAAAACTTTGATTGAATTTACAAAATTCCATGACTTTTCCTGGCCTGGAAAATGACATTTTCAATTTCCATGCCCGTGAGAACCCTGGATTTATGTTAAAAAGTTTTCCCAACAAAAACATATCTGGACTGTGTTTGTTTAACACAAAAATCCTGCATATTTAGGCTGAGTGGAAGGTGGAACAGAGCATTTCGAGGTTTGGCGATGTGAACAGACTAATAATAAAAGGGTTACTCAAACATGTGTAAATGAAACAAAACACAACTCTAGGTATGTTTTTGATGAAGTAACAGCATGATTTAAAGCTCACATGAGTCAATTTTGCGTAATAGGACCTTTACTCTTGCTAGAATAAACTAAATATACTAATAAATAGAAGCAAAGAAGCTGAATCTTAGAGCGCACTGCTTAAAACTGCAAGTCACAGATTAGAGTAAAAATGATGGATCACCGGCGCTTGAGGAACTTAGTGCATTTCCTCTGTGTTTCTAAATGTTATAGTTTATTTACTTTGTGCCTTGGGGAACACTTTAAGTTATAAAACCCAAAAAGAGCTGAAAATGAACAGATTTGAGGAGAGAGACGTGATTGTGATTTTGGGTGGTTGGATAGTGGCCACGGGCGACAGGCTCTGGGGAGGAGACAGACTGACAGATGGTCATAGAGAGGAAACACAATGCCAGGAATTCTTATATCTGTAATAAGAATCCACAATTATCCACATATTTTGAGCTATAAAACCACCTTTAATGTCATATGGTGGAACATTTCAGGTAGAGCTACAACATATCCATAACAACAAGCAGGTGATAGACCTACAGCTAAAAATTTAGTGTCTCTTTAAAACAAGATTGGATTTTATAATCATGTTATCAGCTCCAGGAAAAAAAAATTGGGGAGGGAGTTGACAGAACTAAACAAACTAAACCAGGCCCAAACCATCAGGAATCAAAATACAGTGATCCCTCGTTTATCTCGGAGTTACGTTTTAAAATTAACCCGCAATAGGTGAAACCCCTCACCACAAACTTTATACACTTTTCTCCGACAGCACAGTTACACCCTTTTTGCAGCTTTCTTAAATCTTATTGCTGCTGTCGTCCTTATGTTATTTTCCTCTTTCTTTATGTAACAAACTGAATTATTCCATAATGGCGCCCTACAGCTGCGTAACTTCTCCTTTCCTTCACCGTGTCTAGAAATCTAACTTTTTGTGTGATGGTTACATCTTCCTCTGCCTTTTGGGTGCGACCACAGGAGTCTTTTTCAATGCAGAACATTTCATCGACATTTTGTGGGTTTTGTCAGGGAGAAAACTTCCAAATATACAGCACTTCAGAATCACACTGCTAGAGATCGAACATTTATGTAAATTTGGAAAACTGAATGCATTCTGTACTGTATAGAAGACACAGCACAGAGGAGATTAATTGACAATGGTCTACAGTCCCTTAGCCAATCAAGACGCAGGGGGAGGAACACAATGCAAGTTCATACGCTTTTAAAAAAAGCTGGAGGTCTCGAAGTGTCCCCATAGTCGAAAAAAATTTGTTTGATTACATTTTTAAATGTACATATATATTATATGTCTTTCTCTTTGCTATTATATTAAATTGTGATGTGTGAGCTACTGGGTTCAAGTAATTTCCCTTGTGGATCAATAAAGATGATGTAATAAAGAGATGCTTTTGCATTAAAAATAAAATTGCATTGCATAGTTTTTTTGTTTGATCTCTCCAGTCGTGTTTAATTTAATCAGTTCAAAAAAGGTGAGAATTGAAAAAAAAAAAAAAATGTGGTTGTCAAATTGATTTCATTTCAATATTCAAAATTCAAAAATTGTGTTGACAGTTCATAACTCAAAAAAATCTGTACTGTACAGGAGACACGGCATAGAGGGGACTGATTGACAGTGGTTTAGAGCCAATCAGGAAGCAGGGGGAGGAACACAATGTGCGTTCATATGCTTTAAAAAAAAAAAAAAAAAAAGCATGAAAAATTGTACACAAAAAAATTCGTGAAACAGCGAGGCCGTGAAAGGTGAACCGCGTTATCCCGAGGGACGACTCCAAATATTTAAAGGTGGTATATTACGAAAAACTGACTCTTCTAAGCTTTAAGCCATTTTATAATGTCGTTACCTCCTTAGAAACATACCCAGTGTTGTGTTTTGTTTCATTCACACGTTTGAGTAACACTTTATTATTAGTCTGTCTACATCTCTAAAGCTCAAAATGCTCTGTTCCACATTGTGATGTCATGAAAAAGTAGTAGTTTTCAAATTAACAGCTACTGTTTACTACAGATTGGCAATTCCAGTTCTGAAATTATCCAAATGATTCTAGTGAAGATGAATAGAATTTAAAAACACAGAGGAACATTTCCTGTATTATTACACAACATCACAAGGCAGAAGAGTGTTTTCAGTTTGAGAGAAGAGCTTAGCGTAAATATGCAGGATTTGAGTGTTAAACGGGTGCAAATGAAACAAAACACAACTCCGGGTATGTTTTAATGAGGAAACAACATTTTAACAGATCAGAAAATGTTGTAATACTGGACCTTTAACCTAGACAGCTGTGCGCTCTCTCCGGGCTCTTGAGGAAGAAGGGAAGATTGGTGTGGCAGAACTCACTCAAGTCTAAACCAAAAATTAAACCATGGATTTAATAACTTGAACTAAGCCAGGTCTATTAGGATTAAACCAGGTCCAAACCAGCAGAAAGAACAACACATTTATATTCATAGAAACAGTGAAAGTGTTGTGTGTTTTGGGGCTCAGGATGGAGTGCTCACTGAAGTCTAAACCAAGGGCTAAACTAGGACTAAACCAGGACTAAACCAAGACCTAACCTAGGACTAAACCAGGTCTTAATTGAGACTAGTAAAAAGGGTGGACCAGTCTGGGTAGAAGGGTAGTGTGGTGTGGCAGAGCTCACTGAAGTCTAAACCAAGTACTGAACCAGAACTAAAGCAGGACTACATCAGGACTAAACCAGAACTAAACCAGGTCTTAATTGGGACTAATGTGGGTTGTGACTTACTCTGGACTCTTGTGGTAGAAGGGCAGCATGGTGTGGCAGAGGTAACTGAAGTCTAAACCAAGTATTAAATCAAGTACTTAACCAAGTACTAAACCAGAACTAAAACAGGACTAAACCAGGTCTTCATTGTGACTTTATTTGGACTCTTGGGGTAGAAGGGCAGCATGGTGTGGCAGAGCTCATTGAAGTCTAAACCAAGTACTAAACCAAGTACTAAACCAGGCCTACACCAAGACCACATCAGGACTAAACCAGGACTAAACCAGGACTACACCAAGACTACGCCAGTGCTACACCAAGACTACACCAAGACTACACCAGGACTACACCAAGACTACACCAAGACTACATCAAGACTACAACAGGACTAAACCAGGACTAAACCAGGACTACACCAAGACTACACCAGACTACATCAGGACTAAACCAGGACTACACCAAGACTACACCAGGACTACATCAAGACTACAACAGGACTAAATCAGGATTAAACCAGGTCTTAATTGTGACTTACTCTGGACTCTTGGGGTAGAAGGGCAGCATGATGTAGCAGAGCTTGCTGAAGTCGAAACCAAGTACTAAACCAGGACTAAAACAGGACTACACCAGAACTAAATTGGGACTAAAAACCAAGACTAAACCACGGCTAACCCAGGACAACACCAGAACTTAACCAGGTCTAAACCAGGCCTTAAATGAGACTAAGAAAGGTCCAAACCAGGAAATACTACACTATATATTAAATTGATTTATTGTTATAGACAGTTGTGGACACACTTTGGACCCTTGGACTCTAAACCAAATTCTAAACCAGGCCTTAAACCGGACTAAACCCAGTCCAAACCACGCGATATATTAAAATACACAGTTGTGACTCACTCTGGACTCTTGGGGTAGAACGGCAGCGTGGTGTGGCAGAGCTCGCTGAAGTCCACGGCGGTGGGTTCGGCGGAGATGGCCTGTCTCTTGCTCCGGTGCTGGTCGGGCCCGGGCAGAACCAGACTGTGCTGCCCGACCTGCTGAGCTGTGGCCGGCCGGATCACGGAACGATATTTGTCCAGTTCATTCTGTAATCTCTGGATCAACTTCATCTTTTTGGTCCAACTCCAGCTCGAGCTCGTCAATCAGTGCATCCCTTTGACGAAGCTCTTCTATCTTCTCTTGCAAAGCGTACTGAAGGTCTCGGAGTGTCCCCATAGTCCCGAAAAGTTTTAATTTTACATATATATCTAGACGCGTTTCTCTTTCTTATTATATTATACTGTGATTTGTGAGCTACTGGGTCCTAGTAATTTCCCTTGTGGATCAAAAAAACTTGAGATTTGAGATGTTTTCGTATTAAAAATTAAATTGCAGTGCGTTTTTTCGTTTGGTCTCTCCAGTCGTGTTTAATTTAATCAGTTCAAAAAAGGTGAGAACTGAAAAATTAAAAAAACAATGTGGTTGTCAAAGCGATTTCATAAATCTTTTAGCAAAAATATTCAAAATTTAAAAATCGAGTTGACAGTTCCTAACTCAAAAAAACACACTTGTGCAAATGAGTTGGCTGGTTAGGTCATATTATCTGATTTTCATGGGAGAAATTTGTGAAAGGAAGAATAAAAAAGGTTGCATAAAATTAATTATACGTCAATATGTTGTGCAAATTTGTAAGATACTTGATTGGGCGACTCTATAAAATAAGTCAAAATGCTACTTTGTCTTAAAAACAACATAAAAATACTAAGTTGAGGGATTTTAATAATTATTTGAAACCGCAAGCTGAGACTAGTTAGTACATTTGAGTTCTTATAAAGCATTTAACATAGCCTATTCTTTTTGGTTCGTCAACTGAATTAAAAGTAAAAAATGGCATTTGCTACATGTTTAGTTCACACTTCTCCAACTTCAGATGTTCTCAGTGTGCTTCATGTCATCCCAAATTCAGGTAAGCTCACTTTTACAGACCGCTGACTGAAATACACAACTGCAAACTCATCACAGAATCCACGTTTCTCTCCTTTTTAAGATTTTGGTAAAACATGATCTCTCTCACTGATCAATGCTACATCAAAAGCAGCTGTTTTGGACTTTGAGATGTTGCCTGCCTCTTTTGCTCGCTCCACAAATTCCTGTTTAGAGATTCGCAACTAAAACGAGATATTTTGCAAGTATCTTCACTCTTATTTATACAATAATGAGATGTTTATTCATATATGTGTGTCTATTAAGTAGCCTGTATTCTATGTATTAAGCTACTAAAGGAATTAAAACTCAAAGACGAACTTATCTCTCTTCCATATTAGGTATAAAAATTGCATGAAAAACAGCTTACCTTTGAGAATTTTTTATATAAAACTACAAGAATATTAGTTAGCTGGAAGTTAGTTCAATTTTCCTTATTAATTACGTGTTGTGACTCCAAAAGCATGCACCTCGACGTCTCCAGTTGAAAAAGATGCCCAAGTATTACCTTATTATTGGTAGTACAGTAAAAAATATATATTCTTTGAGCTTCTTATAGTAGTTTTCTTCTTAAAATTATCCAACGTGTCCAACACCATGCACTGAAGTAAAAGAAAAACTACAAACAAATAGCAAAACCCCCAAAATATCTTGAAAATGTTAAGTAAACGTGTCGATGTGTAGCCTACTATCTAAGCACGAAGCTGTACATGGAGGCTAAAACTTTTTTATCTTAAATTTGCATAACAAATACGAAGTCCAAGCATGCAAATAAGTTAAAATAAGTTCAACTGTTCCTACTTTTTGTAACGTGAACGCGAGGAGGAACATTCAAATCATCCAGTAAGCTCGTAAAAGTTCGGTAACGATGCTCAAATATGCGTAAATATGCGTAAATCGTATTATTTAATGCAAAAATACAACATAAAAACGACGTATTTAAGGACATCCAAACGAAATCAGCTGTAGTTCAAAATCTGCAGCGCGTAATGTCCAAACTGAATCCACGTTGAGATGAGAAAGTATTGGAAGAAGCGGCTCCAAAAAGACGTTTCCTCCTGTGCACAAATTTCGTAAAAACACGGCACCGATTTGCGCGCTGACAGCCTTCTCCGCGTGCGTGCATTTGTGTACCCGAGGGAGGAGAACACGAGCGCGTGGAGACGAGCGAAAAACGAGCGTAAAAAGCGAGAGTCACGTGTGCGCCGCGAGTTTGGAGCGATCGGTGGAGATGGGAAAGCAGGAGCAGCGGAGAAAGCGAGGAATTAGGTATCCGTGGGAAGAACGTGGGTAGAGTGCGGTGCATGCTTCTGTCTTAAGATGTTACCAATATTTCCGTGCGCTGTGTGTCTCTGTGGTGCAGACATTTGTGAAGCAGTTTTCTTATCTCTTCCTCTTTGCTCCCAATCCAACGCATCTTCTGTTTTTTTGTTTTTTCTTTCTTTCTTTGTAGTCAACATGACATCTTTTTCCTACTTTAGTTTGGGGCAAGTTCTCTGCAAAACAAAATATCTTCACGAGTCACAGTTGCAGTTGCACTGCGTAGCTTTTCTACTGGGCGATCTGACACCTGTTTGTCTCCATGGAGATGCATTTGCAATGTTTCGCAGTATGGCATTAAACATGTAGCTTGGATTTATTCAGTTAGAGTCGTTTTTATTGCTGATAAACGAAAAAAAAAACATTCGAAAAACATGTATTCTTACAGTGAGCAGACTCGCCTCTCCACAGATCTTGCAATTAAGCGCAGCAGTGTCACCTCTTTGTTTCCATGGAGATATAAAAATCTGCTTAACCCCATACTGTGAAACATACCGCGCAAAGCAATCACATCTCCATGGAAACAAGCAGGTTAACCAACTCAGACAAACAAGTAAAACAATAAAAACAAGAAAAGTTATTCTCAAATATTGTCTTATTTGGAGAAGCACTTTTTTTGTCTCTTTCCATCTATAGCCTCATTCCTCATCGTCTTAACACAGTCGCTCTTTGTCTCTTGTGTGGAGGTATATTTCCTGATTTTTGTGGAGAAGCAATAAAAATTTCTCCTTTCATTTGTCAAGTGACGGGATATTTTTAATCCTATAGAAGATTCACTTTGCCTCTTTGTGAAGTCTGGCCTCTTTCGACAATGCATGCTCCCTATTCTTCATTTCTAAACATGCGAAATATGTCAAAGGTTGTCAGTTCAAAGCCAGCTCTGACAAGTGCTTATTGTCTGCGTGTCCTTGTGCAAGATACTTCACCTTGCTTAAAGAGCAATGTTATAATGTTGTTTCCTCGTCTTAAACAGACCCGCAGTTGTGTTTTGTTTCATTCACATGTTTAACACAGACATCCTGCATATTTTTAGTTTTCCTCTCAAACAGAAAACACTCTGTTCCACCTTGTGATGTCATGTTGTCATACAGGAAGTGCTCGAGTGTGTTTTTAAACTCCATACACATACAAACTCCAACCTGTAGCTCAAGAGGTATCAGTAGCTCTCCAACCCCTTCCAAGTAGCTCGCCAAAGGATTCCTAAATTATACATATTGCGCTGAATAACACACATTTGATTGATTAAATGCCTATTTCCTTTCTAAATGTATAATTTTGATGTCTACATTTGTGCACAGATAACTGATAGTGGCTTATGTTTTATAGACATCTAACTGTACCTCATTTTCATCTTACCATGGGGCCCGGTCAAGCAGAAATACAGCAAGACCAAAAATTCTAGTTAATGCATCTGATATAAAAATGTATTCAACAGATACATATGTACTCTAGTTTATGAAACTGTTTACCTTTTTTCTGTACCATTTTTGATTCTAAAGTTACATACATTTTAAACAGACCATGTATGAAACATGGAACAAAAATTATTTCCCAAATTTCAAAGACCTGCAAATCATGTAAATAAATTGATGTATTTCATCATATCTTGTGTTATTCGATCTTTGAACTGTTGATGAAGGTACATGATTTTTCAAAACAAAAAGTATTTTAAATGATAAAAATTAGCTTGGAAGGACTGACATATTTTATAGAAATAGTTTCCTTTCATTTTGAAGTAATATTAAAGTATTCGGAAGAAAAAAGCTGACAAATTATGCAAAATCATGCACCTTCTACTTGCTTGCACAATTTTCCTCTGTTACTTTTCCCTCCGTTACCATGACCTTTCTTAATAAAAAATCTCATTACTCAAAAAGTAAGAGGTTTTTCACCCTAATCTTGTACCATATGGTAGAAAACTATATGAAGCAAATATTCAAACCAGTTTGTTAAGGATATGTAAGTGAGAACCGCTATCGCTGTTTGTATTTATTGCCCAAAAAGTGCTGCATATTTCATTTCCTCCATTACCAACAGTTTTTAAATTTTTTGTCAATAACTTGAAAGAATATCTCAGGTTTAACTTTACCCTGTTGGAGTGTTAACTCTTTCCTACATTCTGATTTACTTACTTTACTTATTTCAATAGTCCCTCTAGTTTCTGAATAAGAGCTATTTGAATGTAAAAAATCTGCCCCTGTTTCCCTCCAATACCGCTTGACCGGACCCCATGGCTCTTGTATTTACACAATTTCTGGCGAAAATGAGTAGCTCTCTGGCATTTTCGTTTTACAAAAAGTAGCTCACAGGAGGAAAAAGGTTGGAGACCTCTGTCATACACCTTCACAAGCATCACTGAACTAAAAGAGAAAGGTTGCTGTTATAATTTAAACTCTAGACGACATCACGAGGTGGAACTGATCGTTTTGAGCTTTGGAGATGTATACCAGTAGCTCTCCACCCTCTCTTCCAAGTAGCTCGCCAAATGATTTCTGAATTACACATATACCGTATTTTCCGGGCTATTAGATGCGCTCTTAAGCCTCTAACTGTATCAAAAAACGACTGCGCGCCACAATCCAGAGCGCCCTATACACGAATCCACTCGGGTGTCGCAGCACGACTTCCGTAAACTATAAAGCCACACGCAAACACACACGGAGCAGACAGCGACCGCACAGCGAAACAAACGAGGAATGGAACGGGGGAACAAACTGAAAAAGCGAGTGCAATGTGCCACTTCTAGACACAACTGAACAACTGAGTCACTGCGAACACGCCGACAATCCAGCGGTCCCAGACAGCACCCTCCCTACACGCCACAACTGAACAAAGCAAAGAGTCACCGTGAATGCGTCAAACAAAGTCCCACTGACCCATCCAACTGTTGTGTTTCATTTAAAGTCCGGGGCGGTTTATTTGTGAAAAAAGATAAAAAATAGACCATCTAATGACAGTGCGTCTTATAATCTAGAGCGCCTAATAGTGCGGAAAATACAGTAGTTCTGAATAACTAAAACTTGATTAATTAAATGCCTGTTATTATTGTAAATCTATCATTTTGATGCCTGACTTTGTGCACTCATAAATAAATAATGGTTTATGTTGTTTTATAACTGCACCCCATCTAAGTTTTGCTATGGCTCTTATGTATACTTTATTTCAAGTGTCTCCAACCTGTAGTTCGGGAGCAACCAATAGCCCTCCAGCGCCTTACAAGTAGCTCGCCAAAGGATTTCTGAATTATACGTACTGTACTAAATAACTCAAATTTGATTAATCCACTGTAAATGTGTTATTTTGAACTTTGTGCACTAATAAATGGAAAATGGTTTCATGTTTTCAGGCATCTAACTGTACATTTAAGGCTTGCCCTCTTGTATTGAATAAACTTCTTGCAACCGCTAAAATGAGTCACTCTCCGGCATTTCCATTTTGTAAAGGTAGCTCACTGGACGCAAAAGGTTGGAGATCTCTGCTTTATTTCTTGCGGTCGCTAAAATGAGTAGCTCTATGGAATTTTTGTTTTGTAAAGGTAGCTCACCCAAGGAAAAACATACGAAACCCCTGTTTTATCGGCATCTGACTGTACCTGAAGGCTTGCCCTCTTTCTTTCTTACAATCGTCTCAGTTTCTTGCCTCCACTAAAATGATTAGCTATCTGGCATTTTTGTTTTGTAAAGGTAACTCACTGGAGGAAAAAGGTTGGAGACCCCTGATGTAGACAGACTAATAATAAAGGATTACTCAAACATGTAAATGAAACAAAACACAACTCTGGGTATGTTTTTGAGAAGGTAACAACATTATAACATAAATTAGTTCACAACAGTCAATTTTGTGTAATATAGGACCTTGAAGTAGCTACTTTCATTACTAATTATCGTATTTTCCGGGCCATTAGACGCACTCTTAAGCCTCTAACTGCATCAAAAAACGGACCGCGCGCCCCACAATCCAGAGCGTCCCATACACGAATCCACTCGGGTGTCCCAGCACAACTTCAGTAAACTATAAAGCCGCACCACCAACAGGGCATGCAAACACACACAGAGCAGACAGCGACCGCACAGCGAAAAACACCCACAGACACACTCATTACTCCACAAGGACGAGGAACGGAACAAAGGAACGAACCGAAAAAACTAGTCCAATGTGCCAGTCTGAGTCACAACTGAACAACTGAGTCATTGCGACCGATCCAGCGGTTCCAGAGGTCCCAGACAGCACCCCCCCATGCACCACAACTGAACAAAGCCCAGAGTCACCGTGAACGCGCCAAAAAAAGTCCGACTGACCCATCTAACTGTTGTGTTTCGTTTAAAGTCCAGCGTGGTTTATTTGTGAAAAAAGTTAGAAAATAGACCATTTAATAACAGTGCGTCTTATATTTCAGAGCGCCTAATAGCCCGGAAAATACGGTAGTATTTTTTACCAAAGACTGCTAGTTCAGTTTGTCCCAGCAAGAAGACGCAAGAAAAGTTAGAACACACACGAGACATACAGTTCTCCTGATGGCTATCCTGCAGTGACATCATAGGCCATATAGGAGATAGGACATAGGAAGCAGGAGATAGGAGCTAGGAAGCAGGACAAGGAGATGGTGTGGCCCGATGCAGCAGACCCAGAGGAAGTGGGTTGCTCTGGTCTAATCTTCATTACTTTAATGAGAGCAGCT